TCCTACGCCCCTGTGCGGCTTCTAATGCTTCGAGTTACAGTATTCTTATACACATTTCTTTATCCTGATAAAGACTGAAATATGGTCGAAGCGTTGATAAATATAAAAATTTTAATCGATCTTTGGAGTTAAACTTGTTTTATACATTTCTTCGTTGTACATTTCACGCCCTGCGTCAAGTTGACAGTCTTTGTTTATTATCGCAGTCGACGCTGATTGGTTCGCGTTTAGCAGATGCGAAAAGGGGCTGAATGAATAAAACGCATGGTTCCGTGCAGGCTCACATTTCTCTCAGTGAGCCTCCTCGCAGACTAAATTTTAGCCAATTTTATGCGGGAAATTAGGCGGGAATTTCCGGTTTAGGTTTAGAGACCCGTTTAAATTTCAGCTGGAACAAGAATAATATTGTTGACTGCTTAATTGAACATGCGCGTCGCACGAAAATTAGGTCCATGTAAACACCGCGTACACAAATATACTTGCATAAAATACCTCCTGTATCTGTACATGGTTCACTTGATAGTACATTCTGGCTCACAGTAGAACTCTCATGATTCTGGAAAGTCAAAATTAATTCACTCATGACTCATGTTAGAAAAGACCACAGTGTAATATTTTATTGTGAAGTCTGAACTCTGAAGACAACACTCGATTATCGATATTTAATCGATAACCAAATATATACATATAATTAACAATTATTGGATGAGGTTTTTGTGATATGCGGACCAACTACAATATATAATAATATGTAATAATGAATATACAAAATATGTAATTGACTTTCCGAGTCTTAATTGTGCCAAAACCTGAGCAACTACTGTATTATGCAGTTGTATGCAACCTTAAAAAAACTATATGCGTCCTTAAAAACTTAAATTTTCAATGTATTTGGTTCATGTTCATTGTTATTTTCAGAGTCAGAATATTTTTTATTCATTTCTCATTTTAGTCTTGAGACAATTGCTATGATGTATTTGATGGGTATTGTAAATGGAAATGTAGATGGCAATTTCCATCTGCAATAGCCATCTAATATTATTCACTCGAGTGAGAAATTACAAAAATCTTGAAGTTATGATATATGGCCAAATAAAAATAATAGTTGGTTTCAGGTTTCCGACCGACCTGTCAAAAATATGACCGACCATAAACATTTTATTGACATTTAAACGTTTAGACTGAACATTGATGACATTAAATATTTAGTTGTTGCTTGTTTCCTTGCATGTCAAGTTTTATATGTATGCAGGTGAAAACCTGATGTAAAAACAATAAAGTTTCAACTTATATTTATTGCATACTTGAGATAAAATATTTTTTTAAATAAAATGTTTTTCCGACCTACCTACCCATATAAAACATGGCTGTGAAACCTGAAACCAACTATTTTTTTTTTATTTGGCCTATGCTCAATACCATCATTAGATAGCTAGTTAATTAATATTCATGTACTCGTATATCATTTTCTGTGTAATGGGTGTATTAAATTACAGTACATAGTACCACATAGTTTGTCAAGATATGACGGACTGGAAGCCCGGCAAAGTTCAAAGCCACAAAATAGAAGGCCTTTATTCGATGTTAAACTTTCATATATAGGAAAGCAAGTGTTTGTAATCCGAGTAACACATCATGATCATGACTCATGAATATGAAACAAGCAATGCTGCATGGATTTAGAGTACTTTTTACCTTAGAATTCCGACCATCCTTTTCTTGAATAAATTACTTTGACATGCATGGTAATATTAATAACATTTAATTTAGTATATATTGGACTTGTTATGCATTCCTGTCTAGAATGGACATTTAATTAGCATGCCACAATAGGCACCGATATAGTATTTATAGAGTGCATTGTGTACCTCATTAACAACTGTATCCTCAGACTGGGAAACCTCTACAATTAAAAGATATTACAACTATCAGTAAAGAATACAATTTGGTTTGCAACCATGTATGTTACTACAGTAAATCTTTCATGAATTCTTGTTTCTGTACGTGTTGTGCCCTCAGGTGAAGATATTATGTTTGTGATGTTTCCCTGAGTGTGTGCACACCGGGCAAGCTGAAACGTTTGCTTGACCGCAGTGGGAATCGAACCCACAATCTTTGGTTTGTTAGCCAATGCTCTACCAACTGAGCCACGAGGTCAAATCGGTTCGAGTGTGTGATATTTCGGAAAACAGTCTAGTTCCTTCGATATCAGGATGTTTTCATGATCTGGAATTGATGTTTCTAGTGTTACACACTCAGGCGAAGATACAGTATATATGTTTGTGATGTTGCTCTGAGTGTGTAGCTCAGTTGGTAGCTCATCAGACTATATATACATGTGTCCCTTGTCCAATGTGGACACACTCATGCAGATCAGCAACATCACAAACATAATTCTTTCATGTTTTTTTTCTTCTTTCAATTCATTAATAGCTGAAATTTAAAAAATCACTAAGGCATTTAATTCGCACGATCTTGCATACACGCATGCATGGTTTTTCTTGGATGGGATGCTTATATAGCACAGGACAATTTTGAGATATTGCATGGAATAAGTCATCCATAACCTAAAATGAATTAGAGTGAAAGAATCAACATTATAAATCAAACTGAAATTCATGACAATCCAATTAGCTTAAACAATTGTTGTGTCAAAACAACGTTTTGTTGGTAATTATTGTGAAATCTTCTTCTTGGAAAATAATGGAGTTTTTGGTAACTTGTTTCAACACAAAACAAGACTAAAATGGATTTGTGTAAACAGCATCAAATAAACTATAACAATTATAAAAATACCTCCTGTATCTGAAGATGGTTCACTTGTAGTTGATAACACAACACGGCTCTCCCGAAAATTCCCACGTGTCTGCAAAGTTAAAATTAAATTCACTCATGTTAGAAATTATGAGTCATGGTGTTATTGTGAAGACCTCCACTCTCTATCTAATTAAGTTGTTAGCAAAAACATATAAAGTATACTACATATACGTAACATTCATGCATGAATATATATATATATATATATATATATTAGTAGTTCAAAACAACAAATTTCTCCTTATATTTTTCAGGTAGTTGCATCCCTACCATTGAAATTAAGCTTTGTGCATTTATTATATACAAAATAAGCATGTAGTTGATTTTCTACAATAGTCAATACATATGTATGTCGATCCACTGCTAAAACCTGAGAAACTATGCAGTCAAGTTAAATAATCAAGACTGAAATTTGAATGCATATGAATTTGATTTAATCTTCAGTCTTTTATTGATTGCAATTTCCAGAAACGAAAATAATAGTTTTTCATTGAAAATGTTTAATTTTGTATTGAGACAAATGGCCAATTTTGAAAATGTGTTTTTAACAGAAAACTCTGTTCACTTGATAACATTTGAGAGAGGTTATACAACTGTATAACTGATAGAATTATATGTGCTATTTATAATTATTATATTATTTATATATGTGCTAGAATTTTTAAATATTATGATCAAATTTAATTACGAAAATGTTTGGGCTTTCTGCCACACAAGATTGTATGTGTTCCTGTTTTTCGTGTTTACAATAGGTTATGGGACTTGAGTGGGAGCTCCCCCCAAATTTCAGGAGTTTTTTTAGTCACAAACCTATACGTCATTTCCTACGTTCACCTAATATATGCCACTGATACATATATGAATTACAAAAGTTCAAAAGTTTCAAAGAAAATCATCAAAATCCCCAAAATTACTGTAACCCCCAATTTAATTCTCTTTTTGGTTCTTTTAATTCTGGGAAATACTGTATCCAAATTGACCAAAAATTCATGAAGTCGAATGACCTACATACAAATCAATTAAGTGCCAACTGCCGAGTACTCTACTTAATAATAGGCCAAAGCCAGATCGAGCCCGTCTAGGTTGGGAAGAATGTGAATGTGTATAAACAATGTGTTCTGCACCTCATTATGCAATGGCTCATCAGATTGGGTCATGCCTATAATATTAAAAAGATATAAGTATATATATTAGTACAGGAAATAAAGTGGTTTGAGAAGTACTTATGCTGAAATATTTATACTATTAAACTTTTTTGATTTACGAGTAATGCTATATTGCAAATAAAGTTTAATTTATACACCTGGAATTTAAAAGATCAATAAAGGCAATGTTACTTCCGCTTCTCCTATAAGATAGGATGCTTATAACCTATTGAGCGCCAGCATTCTGCCCTTCACAAGTAAAATCATCTCCAGATGATCTTGATACGCAGAAAAGTACTGGCACTAGTTGTCAAATAGAAATCCACTTTATGATAAAAACAACGGAATATCTCCTGTAATATACTTTATTTCGATTCCATATTTTTGTCAGAGCTATAGTTCGTATAACCAAACATAATTACAAAATTTCAACTAGTTTCATAAAGAATAACGAAAGATATAATTGACTGAATACATCAAAATGGATTTCTATTCGGACAACCCTTTCTGAGCGCTGATTGGCTAAAATACGAACACGAAATCACCTGGCTGGTATTAGAAAGAATGAAATAATAACAGAAGCTGTATTACAATTTAATGGGTTAACTAGACGGATTGGAGATTATAACTGGTCATTGATCATGAGTGCCACTCACTCTGTGACGAGCAAAATTGACTAATGTTAGACAAGGTAAAATAATAAGGCAGCTATTAGTGTCTTGGGGTACAATGCAACTCAATTAATGGATTAGCTATACATGGACAATGTACTGCATGTAGATGTATCAATCAATGCAATATTAGGGACTTAAAAGAAAATTAAGTGAAATAATGTCCTGTACTTAAAATTATTATGGCAGCTTAAATTATAATAAAACAACTTTTTGTTTGTGTTTTTTGTGAAAACTTAATAAGGAAAATAACATGATGGTTTTAGTTAATTATGAAATGTAATTTGTTTTATAATACATTACTAGACAAGACTGGATTTTGGTAAAAATAGTGGGGAAAGTGGAGAAATATTTAGGGAGGTGCAGGGGTTTAGCGCACAACCCGCATGGACAGACTGTTAGGGCTATATAGAACAGGCCAAGTCAAAAACATGATGTTATGCATCACTCAGTAATGTACATATATATGTATATCAGTGTATTAATGAATTGTAACTGTACAACTCATCCAATTTTGACCTTCATTACAATAATACTACTACAAACTTAAGTTTCTTTCAAAATATCACATTGAAAGGGTACTTGCAGGGATGCAGCAACCAGGAGGGGTAACTCAAATGTGAAACTCGCATAAAAAATCAGGTAACATTCAAGTTTAAATTTTGACATTTTCAGGTAAAATTGGGGTAATAAAAGTTCACTAAAGGGCTTGAATCCGGGTTTTTCCATTAATTTAGTTTATTGTACGATCATCCAGATTAAATTTTTTAATTATTTCTGACGTAATGGCTGCCGTGTAGGTAGCCGAAACGTCAGAAATAATTAAAAAATTTAATCTGGATGATCGTACAATAAACTAAATTAATGTAATAAAAGTTGTTATTTTTGTGAAATAATAACCATTTTTGTACAATACAATCAATTTAGATGCAATTCATTTGCAAAATAATTTGCTTTAGAAAACACCAAAATTGCAGTCCTGGAGCTTCTGGGAGGAACACTTAAGACCCCCGTTTTTTTCAAAAGCTCACCATGAAAATAGAGTTATTGTGAGTCAATCAATCAGAAAAGGCTCTATTATAATTATTACACTTCAGGTAAATTTTTAATATTGAAGTTCAAATTTCAGGCAAAATCCTCCAACACCCACCAACTTCAGATGATTTGCCACGTCCCTGGGTACTTGACACAGAGATAAATGGGTATCACTGTTTCAATTTTACAGAAAAACATTTCTTGCAAAGTGTAGACCCTAAGCAACCAAAAAATGTCAAATTTTCACTTTAATCGCTATCATGGAAATTCTCCCAAGGAGAGGTGCATAATTTTTCAGGGGAGGTGCAAAAATTCTCAGGGAGTTGCAAAACGATCTCAGGTGCACACCTCCCGCCGCACCTCCCCTCAAAATCGGGCCATAATATCAGAATAATCCCTGCATTCCCTGCTGGCAAAGTGGGTCCATGTAAACTAGTACTAAATACAAACTTGCATAAAAATACCTAGTCCTGTATCTGGTTCACCACGACTTGCACAAAAATTCTCAAGATTCTGGAAAGTTAAAATTAAATTCACTCTTGTTAATAGACCAGAATAATGTATAAATTGCTACAAACTTTGGAAAGAATATAAATTTAAAGATAAATGTCATAATGGCCGTATTACCATGAGAGGATTTCTCGGAACAGAATAATTTTTTGTAAGTGAATGCCACATTCCACTATTTTTAACCTCAAACTTGAGAAATTCTTTGTCATAGTCTTTCCCACTACCAACATTCTTCAGAAACCCATCACTTTCTAATTGCCCCACTATTTTTAAAAAATTATCTCTCCTATTCTTAAAGTCTCTCTTTAATGTTTTGCCTTTTTCTTTATAGATATAGTCACAGTAAATAGAGGTAATCCTATCAATATCATTAAAACGTAGAATGAAACGATCCTCTTTTAATTTAACCAAATGTCGAGCTTCAACATGCTTTGCAAGATGACCACAAACAAAGCCAGAAAAAAAGTTTTTCGACTTTGCTCCTGAGCCTATAAAGAAAAATGATCCGTAAATTACATAATACTTGATAAGTACAAACTGCACTGAATCATGATATTTACCAGGACATTATTAACAAATATTGCCCACTTTGATAATATATAAATAAATGAATATGCCACAACAAATAAATGCTTGTTAAAGTTTTCATTAAATTAACTACTCTGTTTCATATGATTATAACGTAAATGTTCACTATTAAATTAGCTATAGTGGAGAGCGCTCACTGCACTGCTGCATGTGCTTATAATAGGTTATAGGCTGTGGGCTGTTGTGC